ATCACAATATTCATCTAAAAAGATCTCGATTGTGACCAAGTGCCAGGCGGAAATCCAAAAAGACAAAACAATGAAATAATCCCTGTGAATCAAGGGATCCTAATCCAAGTGAAAAGTAATCTCAAATGATTGTGTTAGATGTAGAAATCGATTCATACATAAAGTGTCAGAAATAGAAACAACACAATAAGTGATATTTAGAAACAATCTCAATGTTTTATTCTGAAACGATCTCGATTGTGACCAAATGGAAGCCCAAAAAGATGTGAAACAAATGATACAATAAATCCTCGGTGTTTTCTCTCCAGACGGCTTTTTTTTCTGCTCGTGCGCGCGGGGAAAAAAACGTCCCGTAACATTTTTAAGTCCCCCACCACTACGTTTACGCACATATAAACGTAAATACGCGTTCGATGCGCCAGCGCGGGAAATCGACAATTGCGCTACACGTTACATATCGTCGTGAACGTCGGAGGGAGAGCAATAATTTTAGGGCCATCAATCACTGATAACACTAAACTGATGAGCGGTAAAAGCTTTTAAAGCGTCGCCAATGGCCAATTTAGGGTGTTGTAGTTTTCTGAGGTTCCGCGTGCGTGCGCAATTTTAAGGCTTGACTTGTTTGGTGTCTATTTACCCGACGTGACCCCGTCTCTTATATTTTACCAAAAAATTGGGTAATAAATGTTTTATCATTTAATATAGGGGAAACTGTTTTGTTTTTTTTACATTTCGGTAATTTTTCCTTAATATATTAAAAAATAAAACCCCCCGTGGTGATTAAATACCACCAAAAGAAAGCTCTGTCCCCCAAAAAGTACAGCGTTGTATGACGGAATAAACGTCAGTCAAAGTACTGCAGTGCTAAATACTGAAAAATGGCCCCCCCCCCGGACTTCAAGTGGTTAATTATTTTAAACATTAGTTCATATTTCCACATTAAATACATGTACTTTTTATTATTTAAAGCTGAACCTCTCTCTGTTAGTGAATGCCAATTTTTTTTAATGCAAGTACTTGAGTATGACCTGATATCAGCCTTTTGCAGTCCCTATACAGCAGGGCTGGAGTGCGAGAGGAAGAAGCAGCACTAGAAGCCAATCAGTTCATGTGCTGAATTGAAGCAGGATGCTGATAGAAGGAGAAAGCGGGATGATTGACAGATATAAGTTCATCACTGTGCTGCTTCTCTTTTCACTGTCCAGTCAAAAATTGAGGGCAGGTCCAGGTCAACCTGGGCTCAGAGTAGGTGGGTTAAATGATGCTGGCCATCAGACTAAGGACATCCAGCAGCAGACAAGTAATGGAAGAAAAATCTCTAGATTATAGCTGCATATTGCTGCAAAAACTGTATTGTTATTTTATATGCAAAAGAACGATTTATTTTCATTGTTATTTTTGGCTGGAGTTCTGCTTTAAATATGAACACATACAGCCCTGGACCCCAAATCCAGCCTTAACAAGACCTCAACTTTGCTCCACCTCAGAGTTTTGGCAACCCCCCCTACTCCCATCACCCTACTAACCAAAGCGTCTCATTCGACAGTGGTGTGTCCAGGAAGGTGAGAAAGCTCATAAGTCCATACACACCAGAGAACAACCATAAGGCGTAAGACATGGTTGTGTTCTGGTTTGCCGAGTCCAGGGGTATATAGGTGAAGATGTAGAAACAGAAGTTTTGTTGCCAGACGCAGGTTAAAATGGAAACATTGTTAAAAGATATAAAGTGCTGATTGAGCAGAAAGAGGTCTAGTGTGAGGAACCGCAAGAGAAAATAAGAGTGTAATGTGGGAAAGACAGTGTGGCCAAAAAAAGGTCATTTTTGTATAATTCTGATTGAGACAACATACCTGGTTATGGTTATCAAATACTTCCTGCCAAACCATGTAACCCTTCCCCAATGAGGACATTATGCCTAGTATTCTGGGGAAGAAAGATGGAGAGATGTAAATGACAAACACAAGAAAATGAAATCAAATATTAATGATATGACAGCTCAGGACCACAAGCTGGTGCATGAGCAGCATCATAACCTGTAACAAAAGTTCACCACATACCAACATTTCCTGGACCACATACCAACATTTCCTGGACCAAGTTATTCACTCAGAAGAAAAACCAAAAACAATTGGGTCCCCATCTTGTCCAATCTGGGCTGCAGTTTTCAAATAAAATGCCTATACTTTTTATGCAATGTCTATGCGGCACGCAGCGAATTTCAGCCGGTTCATCAAGAACCATTGAAAATTGGCACAGTGTATGGCCACCTTAAGGCATAGACTTCAAGACCCTCCACTGAAGTCAGGCCCATCAGACCTCCCTTCTACTGCTCCAATAAGATCTCAGAAAGAGGGATAACTGAACTCTTGGTAACAAAATGAAGTCATGATCAGAGGAAAAAACAGAAGAGTTCTACTGGCAAAAACAAGGTAAGCTGTGACTTTGAAAAGAATTAAAGCCAAAGCTTTTTTTTGGGGATCACATTCACCGGCATGCTCCTGTGACCCAAAGAGCCCCGCTGCAGCCGGGAAGGATCCCGACAATATTGTCCAGATCCACCCCTCTGCCTGACAGGTGACTGTCTCTCTAGAGAATACCCAGCTGTGCCCGACCCTCCTCTGTTTGTCACTCCAGGAGCAGAGATAGGGGAAGGGGGAATCCCTGCAGTGAACGGTGACTGCTCTCTCCGGAGAGCTGAGTGATCTGTGGTTTGCGATTGCTCAGTTCTCCATCTATAGAGCCGGCATGTGACAGCTTCAGTGTCCCACGCCAGCTCGAAGTATAGGGAATCATTTTTCTCTCCCAATACTTCTCCTTTAACGTGTATAGATAACAATGGTTCACTAGTTTACAGCACTGCTATCTTTATACGCAGCACTGCTAGACTACAGTGCAGGACAGGAAAGTATACAAACAAGATTACAGAAAACATAAAATACTAAAAAGTGTTTGCAGGCTAAATAATGTGCAACACATACACGTATGTAAGTGCACATGCAGGTAAGAAATCGCAGCACTTCTCCAGACAATGCTTATATGTTCCTTTTTCCCCAAGAAGGTCAACTCCATGTTTGTTGAAGTATTATCCAGAGTCAAGTTCTGGGACCCAGGAAAGGGCACAATCATGTCAATTCCGGTTTGATTAATAGAGCTTATGTTCTCAAATGTGTAGATACATGTTTTTTCCACCCAGCTCAGACCCTGCCCACTCTCCGAGATGCCAGAAAGTTACAAAGTACTGAGAAGTAATGGGAAAAGTTCAATGGAACTAAAAAATTGCTTAAATGATAAAAAGATACAGTTTAAGTATATACAGTATGTTTGCAGATCTGTAGAACTACTAAGTGGTCTGCATTTAGTGCCACCAAGTCAAAATGTTAGTTTGTACTTTGGGATACAACAGGGAAAGATCTGAGCCTCTGCTGGGTTTTTAGTGCCGTTAACAGATGTCATGTCCTGGGGAAAGAGGTGACGTTATATCCTTGTGACCGATGTCATTGGGACGCAAAATGAGGAAACATTCCAAATGGTCACTGGAACAGGAGGGGAGGGGAAATCTCTTAATGGGGACACTTGTCCAAGGTAGGATTTCCTTTCACTTTCTGTTGCGATTCAGGGACGGGAATTGCAGGAAACAGGTACAAAAACATGAATAAAACTTGAAAAGGGTTCTAATCCCTCAACACTATATGCATACCTTAAGAAAATGTCTGAAGCTGTAATTTAACGTTAAGCTGGCCATACACCTATAGATTGTTACATTTTTTCCATCAGACCATAGAAAATCTGCTGATAGATTCCCCCATCTACGCTAAACTGTGTGGATGGAGGAATCTCCCGCTGGGCCCAGATTCAGTATCTTGCTAGTCGGCCCCGCTGGCTCTCAATACCTGAACAATCTGATTGGATGCAGGCATTGTTCAGGTATTTTGAGAGCCAGCGGGGCCGACTAGCAAGATACTGAGGCTTGGCCCAGTGGGAGATTCCTCCATGCACACAGTTTAGCGTAGATGGAGGAATCTGTTGCACTTTTTCCATCTGACCATAGAAAGTCTGCAGATCATCTATAGGTGTATGGCCAGCTTGAGGGCAAGGGATAGGAATGGCATTCTGTACCACGCTGAAGAAAACAGCCCCTTTTTAACAATGCCAAAAGCAAACATTGTGTTATCAGCACTGGCTGACATGAAAGACATGGTACCTACTGTTGAATATAGTACGATTCCAGCTTGCAGTAGTCTGTTCCAAAGCCATGCTCGGCCATGAACTTGGTAATATCAGGATTGGACTTCCTATAGGATTAAGCAGCCAAAATTAATGAATTTCTAAACAAATCTGTGTCAAATAAATATCTATCAATATATACACACACACACACACACAACCTAGATATAATTATTTTTTTTATATACACAGTACAATAAATTCCATTAGATGTAAACTGCATTTTTTGTGCTTTACACAGAGCTGACACACAAAAAAAAAAAAAAAAAAAAAAGGGAAAAAATAGCCACAAAATAGGAATGCACTGTATACATGGCCAAAAAAGATGGTACTAAGCCAAGTTCAGATGCTCAGGAGGAGGCGCCACCAGCTGGTACAAAAGGGAGGTGGGGCAGTTGCATGGACTCTGCTGAACTGTAGGCTCTGAAAAGTGCCATCACCTTCCCTATATTATATGACTATAGAGCAGAGAAAGATTGGCAAGGTGAAACAAGCAAATTTTCCCTTTAAGCCTACCAAGAGGATATGCACAGACCAGTGGTTCTCAACCTGTGTAACCTCAGGACCCACATTTGTCCTTGGTCATTAAGTTGCACCACACTGGAATGCAAAGCATTGCGGCTACCACACGTTCTGGTGTGAGCGATACAACCGTGGGTGGGAGGTGCATTTGGGGCACCATTCAAATGAATGGAAGTGCACCTCCAGCACCAGAACACGCAGTAGGTGCGATTGCGTGGCACAGTGCGTTAATCACACAGGACTGTGTGATTAACACTTTGTACTAGTGTGAACGGGCCCTCAAAAACACAGAGGCACACACAACCACAAACAGTGTCTCACAGACCGAAAACATTTTGGTGTATGATCCACCTACTTTTCCTACCTTGTGCATTGCTTGTACAACTCCCTTGCGTGTCCTGTAGAGGTTCTGGGAGCCAGAATGATGTCACTCCGATCCAGGCACCTTTACAGGGCACGCACAGGAGCAGTAAACAATGCACATATGGATAGAGCTCCCTCGCGGCCATACCCCAAGCCCACCCCACCTCAAGTCTATACTCGGCGAAGGGCAGCATATTTTGAATGGCTGCTCAGCATGAGAAATTACAGTGCTGGGCTAGGGGGAGGCAGAGGAGCCTCTCACCTAATGCAGTGGAAAGCACATGGAGACCCACTGACACACCAGTTGAGAACTACGGCACAGACCACAAGCACAACCCTCATGTGACAATACCCAGGGCTGTCTATAGGTCCTCCAGGCAGCATTGCTGCAGTATTCATTTCTGGGGCCAGAGCAGTTTGTGGATGACATATACAGACAAACTAACTACCTTTTGCCGCTGTTACTTTTTTCCTTTTAGTGTATGTCGCTTTAAAATGTGTGATTATACAGTGGATGCTGTCTACAAATTTGGTGGAATTATTTACCTGGTATTTAATATAAAAAAGATCACATTTAAACTCACCAGCAAGAGAAGTTTACCTCATCCCCTCCTAGATGGACATATTTGTCAGGAAACACTTTGCCAATTTCATTAAATAACTTGTACATAAATGCGTAAGTGTCATTGACAATTGGGTTCACAGGTCCAAAAGTTCCACTTGGTGCGCCATCTTTGTAACAGGGAGTCAAAAGATCTTTTTGACCTAAAGTACAAAAATAATGAATATATTTACTATAGAAAGAAAAACACACAAGAGAGAACGGACTAAAAACTGTGATGTGCAAACCCTACTGGTTAATCATCTTGGCATGCTCCCATAGGGTCCCTTTTGGGGAGTGTAGAGTACAACACACAACATTAGGAGGACAATTTAAATCCAGTACAACTCCTAAAACTCCAAGTCTAATTGGCTGTATTTGTTGGCACCTCTACTTTCTATTTGCTTCAGTTTTATATACCAAGATAATCTAATGATTGCAAAAAAGCATAAGCAAATTATGAGAACTTATAACAACTAATAAAAATAATGACTGTAGTGATCTAAAATCTAATGCATTTGGCAAATGTTCAGGATCTTTGTATGGTGCTTTTAGTGGGCGTACACACACACAAATATAAGCAGGAAATTGCAGCTGAAGTATCAGTCTAATGGAATAAACATCATATTAAGAAGCACAAAATAATAGTATGTAGAAGCTCCTTTTGGTTTGCACACAGCATACTCACCTTTACCCCATGAGTCAGTATGTCCTGGTGTATCAAACTCTGGTATAACACGAATTCCTCTTAGTCTAGCATACTCAATCACCATGCGTACATCAATAAAAGTATAAATATGAGTGAGGGGATGATAAGTGATCAGGTGCGGATCTGCAGACTGATGCAGTGCGTTTTTGCTGCGTTTATGATGCGTTCCAGTTCTTTTTTTTTGCTGGAGTGGGGCTGTTAGTATGTTAGCTGCAGTGCAGTGCGTTTTTGATGCGTTTTTGACGCGTTTGTGGACCGGACAAAATGTGACATGCAGTACACGCAGCTGAACGGACTGCGCACGTGAGAACTGGAGCCCATAAAACACATAGGGATACATTGGGATGCATTTTGAGTGCAGCAGCGTACGGAGCCGGTCAGCACACAAAACGGACGTCCTGTGAACAGGCCCTTAAGGTTTGAAAATGAAAAATAGAAGCTGATTGGCTGTCATGCACAACTGCTCCAGTTTTGATAAATTCCCCCAATTACCTACAGAAAGAAAAAGGGGGCAATTACAAACCTGGAACTTGTGGTATTACTCTCTACTAGAACCCCAGTATAAAATCACTTACCATGTTACTTAGTTCAGGGAATGTTTCACTTTGGTAAGGAAAAGATGGATCATCAACTATATGCCAGTGAAGGACGTTCATTTTGTTAAATGCCATAGCATCCTAAAACAGAAATGGGATTCATTTTAAAGAAAAGGAAAAAATTGACTGAATCAAAAAATTTGTTTCCAAGCAACATAGGTAAAAATATATAAAACAAACATTCTCTTCTAGGTTTACTGCCATCAGCTCTAGGGTTCCAGCTGTTACCTTCCATCATGACACACAGACACATATATGTTGAACAGAAATACCAAAGTAAATGAAAAGCAGAATATTGTTTTAATTAGGGATGTCCCGATACTAGTATCGAGGCCACTACAGGGCATTTTCACAATTACTTGTACTCGTGAAAATGCCCCAATAATAAAGTCAGATACCGGCCCATTAAATTTTAAAAAATCGGATTGGCTACCTAAGGTCCCGCGCGATTGTGAGGACCTGAGGCAGCCTGCCAGGGTAGTAGTTGTCTTTGACACTGCTTGCCGGGTCTCACATCTCCTCCTTCCCGGCGCAGGTACAAGACTTGCACCCACCACGTTCAGCTCACCACCCGCCCGTTCAGCCCAGCACCTGGCCGCAGAGCACTGGAGAGACCCACATGTAGCCCTGGCGAGATCTGTATTCAGCTCTGGCGAGATCTGTATTCAGCTCTGATGAGAAACTGCCCTTAAATCATTAGCCTGTATTGTTTTAGAAAAAATGTCACATGTCCCTTTAAGAAAAAGTATTGGTATCGACAAATACCTAAAAGGGAAAGTACTTGTACATGGTCTTGAAAAAATGGTATCGGGACATCGCTAGTTTTAATTTAAGCAGCTGTTGAGATGGCCATTCTTAATCATCTATTAATATAACTCTACCTCTTTTACTCTTGCATAAGCGGGAAAAAAAAAAATACAGTCCAGGACTTGACACCCTGAGGTGCACTACAACTACTGGTGTGCTTTGCTCGGCACAGTGCGGTTTGTGACGCATCGCACTGCTTACTTTTTTGTCAACATTTTATTGAACGTTAGATTGGGCCCCTGAGTCGGACTGGTCTCTTGCTGAGAATGCCAATTTCTAGCAGTCTCTAGCTTTGACGCCTTACTGGTCTTGAACCTAGGGATGCACCAATATCACTTTTTTGGTATCGAGTATGCAGTATCGATACTTTGCTTTCGGTAGTCACGGATACAGAGAACCGATACTGATTGGCTGGAAAGCCAGCTTCCTGGCCAATCAGCTTGGAGCCGGCTTCCCGGCCAATCAGGAAGCTGGGTCATTACTCTGCGTGTTACCCTATGGCACAGCCAGTCAGAGGAAATCTTCCTCTGACCGGAAGTTCCTGTATTGGGGAAGGTATCAGAGCATTTGGGCGATTACGGGTACTTGCCCAAATACTCTATATCAGCACTGGTGCATCCCTACTTAAACCAGGAAACAGCCAGTGAACTCAGAACGCCTAATCTGCATACATTGTTATGGTCAGCAATTTAGACAGCACTGAAGCCAGAGGATCAGCATTTACAGGAGTTCAGCAATGGCGTCCCACATTATATGAATCATACCTGGATTCCTATCACATGAGTTCCAGTGTCGCTAAACTCACCAATGTTTTTAGGATGACTTTTAGAGGCAGAAAATGCCTGGATGTGTCCAGCAGTACTCCTCTGTGGGCAAACCTCGGAAAGTCACTAATCTGCGTTTTGTTTATAAGGAACTGGAGGGAGAAAGACAAGTAAAATAGGTTTTATATACACCTTTGTATTAGTACTACAGAAAGTTGTTAAGAAGACAGTTAAGAAAAACAGTTTATATTAGTTATCCATAACTGCATTATCGTTTTAATAAAATCTAGGTTTAGGGGTTTTTTTTTTAAATATATAAATCCCAACACAAAATAGATTTGTATGGCTACTTTCATCAATACCCTCATGTATGTGCACCAGAGGAGGAACATAACACAATGTCCATAGATCCTATGACTGACTAGGTACAGAGATAGAGATATATTGGGCTGATTCACACCATATGTGTTGGCCAGCGCAGCCCCAACACAAAACAAGACAATTTATTTTGTCACGGACTGGATCGGTTCACATCACCAAGTTGCGAAGGGAAGGTGGTGCTGTGCGCTGAAAAGAAGTATGGCATGCTTTTTTTCAGTGCAGCAAGATGTGACATGGAACAACCGCCTCGCACCCTGCTAAGCCTGTAGAACTGAATTAAATGTCACTCGTGACATTTCAATAAAGTTCTACCTAAAAAAAAAAAATAAAATACAGTGGCATTTAGGGGAGGAGGGAGAGGACCTGCACCCACTGTACTGTTACTACCAAGAGAATTGGCGCGAGGCGGTATTTGCTCAAACTGTTTGCTCCCTTTCTTTTTAAAATACTTTGCGTGTCCACAAAATACCCATTTTATTGCCTTAATGTAGTAGTCATATCACTGTGCCATCTTCACTATATCATTTTACAGCATTTTAGCTGTTGATAATGACATCAATGCCACTACCAACACAACCAGAATGGAGGCACAATGTCAGCTAGGACATCTAGTTTCCAAGTGGTGCACATGTCACTAAAGTGATACCATTGCCTGCTACGCAGGGACTAGAATTCCCAGGCATTGCACCTTCATGATGGTTGTACTGGTAGCAGCACCAGCAACGTTACATTCACTTCTGTAATCTTGAGAACTACAGGGGGGTATTTACATTGCGGCCTGGTTCCACTGGAAGAGGCCATCACTCTGATTAGTGCTGCAAAAACTAATTGATTATAAATCGATGATGAGAATCGTTGGCAACGATTCTCATAATTGATTAGTTGCTGCCACCACAGTGCTCCTCTGTTCCCCTCCCCGCTTGTGCTGCCTGCAGCAGTCTGTGTCCCTTTCAATCCCCACTGCTCTCACCGCCTGTATCGGCAGAGGCAGCGGGGACACAGACCACTGCAGTAGGCACCAGTGGTGAGGAGACACCGCTGTGACGGCATTCCCACACTGCCGCCCGGTACCTCTGCCCAGTTCCTTCTCTGCCCCCTCCCCCCCTCTCCCCCGTGCCTTCTCTACCTCACCCCATCCCTCCACTGCCCTGGTCCGTCTCTGTCCCTCATGCCTCTACCGCATGCCTCCTTTGCCCCTGCCCTCCTTTGCATCTAGAGGCTGGGAGGCATACCCAGCATGCTATTGGATATTTTAAAATGTAATAGCCAATAGCAGGCTGGCTATTGCACCTGCCCACTGCCTGCTGTCAATCAGCAGAGGAGGACCTGATGTAGAATTTTCTCCTTCAGGTCCCTCCCCTGCTGACTGACAGCAGGCAGTGGGTGGGAGTAATAGCCAGCCTGCTATTGACTATTGCAATTTGAAATATCGAATAGCAGGCTGGGTATAGCTCTCAGCAATAAAGTAAAAAAATAAAATAAAATTGCCATTAATTTCAATGGATCCCAAATGCACTTCCCGTCCGCAGTGTCATCGCCTGAACTGGAACGTGCGGTACTGCAATGCTGTGCGTTCCACTGCAGTGCGATTTAAAAAAAAAATGTGCATACCGTTTTATTATGAAGTAGACTTTATGTCTGTAACACTGGATTTGCGTATTTTATTTTAAATAAATGACAGTATTATTATTTTTTTATCTAATTGAATTTAATAGATCGGCTAACTAATCGATTATGAAAATAATAGTTAGCTGCATCCCTAACTGATGGTAGGGTGTAGTAACCCATTCAGGAAATAGAGATTTGGGATAATCACTGTGTGGAGAAGAGCTGCAGGACACAAGATTGGGAAGAAATAACAGGAAGCCCCCCATAGCTTGAAGCAGAACTCCAGTTTGTTTATTTAAATGTGCCTTCAGTGGTGAAGTGCCCCATAATGAAGTACAATTGAACAGTTATGGTTGGGTGAGGGTCCCAAACAAAGTGCAGAGAGTCCCACATTGCACTCTAAAAAAGCAATGACAGCAGCAGTGACCAGCTCTTTAACAAAGATTACTGTGATTTCAAAGAACGGCACAGACAACAGTCATAATAAGAGAGCACGCCTTTTCTCATGGGCACCAGTCATAACGAGGTAATTATAACGTGCAAAATAGGAATACTGAAAACACAGAGCATCAAATGAACCTTTGAGATGAGTGCTACATAATACTTACTGCTCCGGTGCTGTCTTGATAAACTAACTGGCTGAACGTCTCAAGACCTTAAAACAAAATAAAATTTAGGCTTAAAACAAAAACGGTGCAAGGGTGTATTTTCTTATATGTCAAATGACACAAAAGGGGTTCAGCTAATTAAAGAGAGACTTCCAGCCAAAATTCATCTGCTTAAGACGTTGTATGTACCGTAGTTAATGTTCAACAACCAAGTGCCACTTTTAAACAAAAAGCAGATAACGGAACCCTCAACTGGAGCCCCAACGTTCCCCCTCAAATAAAGCAGTGCAATAACGAAGCATACAGGTGGAATCTGTAGTTGCAGCACTGAGAATGACAGGAATGGGGAGCGGATTGATCCTCGTTACTAAAATCATGGATTCCAAACAGACAAGTGGCTTTTATTTTAACCAGAGGATCCAGATGAATATAGAAAGTCATTACCTCTCAGAGCACCCCAGACTTGACTTGCTTCAAGAACAGCTGCATCACCATTAACCATCAGCTTATCTACAGTAAACAAAAAGGAAGAAATCATTTGTAAAGTACAAAATATAAAATGAGGTCATACAATGACTTAAGTTAAAGCAGGATCCCCTTTTAATATTCTGAGCGGATGGAGAGAAGATCAGTGTGTTGCTAATAACAGGACATAGCGCGGTTGGAATATTGCGCACACAAAGAAGGCTGAAGGAGATATAAAGCTTGGCTTTTGTCCTCATTCGCTTTAGCGCACTGCCTTGCGCATTTTGATGCCTTTCTTACCCTTTACATCTCCACCACTGTAGACTATAGTATACCATATTCACTGCAGTGCACCAGACACAGACACATGCAGTCTTTATTGTACAATGAAAGTCAAACGAAAAATTTACATGTTCACTAAACATTTACACACTTTGACCTTTTAGGAAAATCAAAGGAATGTCTCTTCAAGCCAATTCTAAACTGAATGGAAGCCTATCAGGAAAACTAAAGCTGACCATAGACTTCAGATATTGTTCCAATGTATTAGAACAATCTTCTTTACTAAAGTCATCTCTTGTCTGAGCTGCAGCTCTGAACCAGAATGGTCATGTGGGACTGTTGGAGGCTATTGTCATGGAATTGTATCTTTGCACCGCAAAAGGTGTATATGAGAGACACTAAACTCAGGAGTTAAATCTTAAAAATTCATTCAATGCCCTATTAACAAGAATGTTAGGACAGAAGGAAGGACAGTGTCAGCACCGATTCAGAGATGGTTTGAGGATCTACAGCCGAGTGATACACAAATAAGATACATTTTTATTCATAGTTAAAAGTACATGAATGCATTAAAGATTTACCTCCTGAGTTTAGTGTCACTTTAAATTAGTGGCTTCCACTTAGGTTTGTATAAAATCACTGCAGTGCTAGAACAGGCAACACAGACACCCAAAGTTTTCTTACAAACTGTTCTAGTTAATTGCCATGTACGAGAATGTTTATCTTATACAAAGTGTTTGCATAAGCATGTACTTTTAAGCAAAAGAGGAAATGAAGTTGCAATTCAGCAGAACATGGGTATTCCAGGGAAGAATGTAGGATTGTACATATACAGTATATCATAAACGAACAAAGGGGCAAATTAGTGTGTAGAAGAACGATTAGCGTGGAGTGCAAATCATCTAAAAGAATTGTGGTTTTTATATCCGTGCGAGTGTGTACAAGGTTTAGAAATGGTAACATTTCACTCACACTGTCCTATACAAATTTGAATAACACCTTATCCACAGACAGCCAGATCAGGAAACGAACATATAACTATTTTCGGTACACTTTACTGGGTCAGATTAATTTTACTCTGACGCCACTGAGATTGTGCCAACATTACACTGCTGGGGAGTCGGGGTTGCTGACCAACCTCTGGCAGACCACAGAGATAAGACAGTGACAGGACAATATGACCCGTCTGTGCGTCTGCATGCCTGGTGCATGGACAATAGCAGATGATTCTGCGAGTGTATGTTGATCAGACATGTTGTTTGGAGAGGTCAGCCAGTTATGTTCTTAGACATGAAATTAAACAATAAAATGGTGAACATTCAGAGTAGCACTGAGCTGAGGTTTTTTTGTACTTGTTTGTTGAGACAAAGACCTTTTCTACTTTCATTATTAAGCAAGGCGCACCCGATATCATGTGATTAAAGTTGCTAGTTCTCTAGAAGGTTTATGGAGCAATCTGAAATCATTCTACATCCAACAATCAAATCTGTTTGTTCAATCTTCTGAACACACAGAGCGAATTTCAATGTGTGTATAGCCTACTTTACCGTAAGCTTTTTAATACGAGATTCTTCAGGCTCTAGTCCCTCACATAGCCACACACAGATTTTTTTTTTTTTTTTTTAGCTGGGGGGATATAAGCCTTGCTAAGTATGACAGACCACTATAGCCCTATCTGGCCTTCCCACAAGACTGGTTTATAGAACTACTCCTGCATCTTAAGCCCACAAAAACAAAATATCAGGGATGTTCAGATAGCAAGTACCATACTTGGTACAAGTACATGTACAGATACTTTTCCAGCTCCAAAACTAGACTAGAGAAAAATTAAAGTTAGGAGGCAGCTGTCATTTTAAAAAGGAGAATACGGAGCTCCTAGGATTTGTGCATCCCTGTTTTAATGTATGATTTATTTTTATTTATTTAAATACATGTAAGGGATGCACCGCTATTATTTTTTCAAGTACTGATACCTGTCCAAGTACTCACAGAAACAAGTACTGATACATTCTTCTTTATTGTCATGTGAGCCAGAGCCAGGTCCAAGCTGCAACCCTGGTAGTTCGTGTGAAAATGCCAAGTATCCACTCTGGTATCTAAACATACCTACAAAATATATTACAGCTTACCAGTGGTGGTGGTGGTGGCTGCATTAGTCTTTTTCCAGGCAATTTCTCTAACCTGCCAATACTGTGAATAACAAACATACTCTCCTAGGGTGGGTACTCTCACTTAATCCACTGTATCCATGGAAGAGCGATGGATGTCATACTAGAACAGGACTACAAACATATCTTCCTTTTTTGGCCTCCATCACAAGGGCAAGCAGGGGGAATTTCTTATATAAAGATTATTTCTTAAAAAGGTCCAGTTCCAGCAAAAAAAAAATTTCTGGAGCTGCTGTTGACCGATTCACATATAGCTGATGACCATTAACAGAATTTAGGAGCAGATCAGCTGGCCTCTCCCCTTGGGCCCTTTCACACTTGAGCTGATCGTCTTTAGTCCTTTTAGAGGCTGCTTTGATGTCAATTAGGTAAAGACATGCACAACCCAAAAGAAGCTCATGACATTTTTTTTTACACTACAGGTGTTCTACAAGTGACAAAACGCTCAGATGTGAACGGGGGCCATTAAAAACAATGGGATTCCTTGTGTTGAGTGTTGTAGAGCCTAAAAGAACTATGGGGTAACCTTTTTATTCCATAGTTCTCTTTAGGGTCACAGGAGGACATATACTAACATCCCCGCTATATACTGAAAGCGCCACAGCCGGTACAGATGCCAACAATACTGTTGTCACCTAGCTGGCTGATTGACAGCGGTCTCTGCCTATCTAGAGGCCGTGGCAGCTCTGCCTGCCCCCTCCCCCAGTCAGCGCTGGAGGATCGCAGAGGGGGAAATCCCTGCGGGGAGCGGTGACTGACGGTCACCACTCACTGCAGGGAGATGATCGGGAAGTGAGAAAGCGACGGTATATGTTCGCTCACTTCCCAATCTATAAAGTCGACGTGTGACAGTTTCATTGTCACAGGTCGGCTCGAACTATGAGGATGAGTGGAAATCAATCACCTCATAGTTCTCCTTTAAGCATTCAAGCTACAAAACTCTCAGGTGTCAATGGCGCCTTAGTGGTCCTGTCAACTCCTGCCAGAGGGAGCTTACAGGGCATGCACAAAAGGATTTCTACAATACAATAGGTTTTATATTAAATGATGGGTGAGTAAATCCAGGGGTGGACAGACTAATATGGAATTCAGGATCCTGTTTGTGCGATCCAGGAGTCAGTTCCATTGACAACTGGAGAAAACCCCAAAAAGGGAAGTGCCAGTTGTAATTTTTAAGGAGCACTGGCGACCTGGCTCCTGGGATTGGTCCAGCCCTGATCGAAACAAATTAAAATCAAAGGCTTCAATTTCTTATCTACACTGCAAAATGTCTGTTACTTCCTTGAGGTGAACACAATGATGTGTCCTATGCATTTTGCACTGAAGCACACTCACAGTGAAATTCACACATTTATCTATGACCAAGCTCGCAGTCTACATGACACAAAAGACAAAGACGACCAGAAAAGAACTTGCACAGTTTGCTTAGTACTACAATTCTAGATACTCACATGACTCGTCTGAAAGGACGCTGGGGTACTTGTGACATTCATTGTCCTTGGCAGTGAGGGTGACCTGAAGTTGTACTAATCGCCCGGAACTCTGTAGACCTTTGGGTGCATCTTTCAGGCGCAACAAGCCAAACATGTAATCGAAGTACCTGAGAATAAACACTGTAAATGTTAAACATGTGCATTCTAAAAAGACGTATGCAGTGCATCACTGAAAGGACATATTAAAACACGGTTATCCGTCATGCACAAAGAGATAAGTTTACAATCAACATACAGCTTTGTTATCCGCTTCCTCTCATAACACATTAACGCCAGTCACTTTAAGGGCACATAGAAAACAATCGCTTAAACCACAACGTTGGTGTGATGGGTGGACATGTATTTTTTCACAGCGTACTGGATGGCACTGGAGGTCACCCCAGTGCAGCACAGCACACCATGCTTCTGTGCTGAGAAATTAACATTTTGTACACTTGCAATAAAGTTAAGAAAAAAAAATCATAAACAGTATGATGAGCTGAAACAGCACATTACAGCATCCCCATACTGCCTAAACGGAAAGCAATCTGCGTTCTAAGGCTATGTTCACACCATGTACGGACCATATCTGGAGCAGATCTGCAAACAGAGTGCAGTGCATTTTAGCTGTGATTTTGCCGCGTTTCGATGCGTGTCTTTTTTTGCTTGAAATGGGCTTTTAGGTGCAGTCCAGTGCGTTTGTATGCATTTTTTATGCGTTTTCATGAGTTCCAGATCAGAGAAAATGTGACAAGCAGTATTTTCTTTAGTCTGGAATGGAACAGACTACGTTGGTGTGAACAGAGCCCAGAAATACCACAGGGATACTTTTTTGGTCCGGGAACAAACTGTTCTGGTCTGGACATGGTCCGAACATGTACAGTGCGTTCCAGCATGGTTAGCTGCCGGAACACACTGTATCACATAGTAAACTCCCTCCTGCGTTCTGTGGTGGGAGGGGGCATGGGGGTGCATTAAAGTCAATGGCACCACAGCCACGCCCCCCTGCCCGCAGTGGCTGCGGTGCCATTGACTTCAATGTACTGCCATGCCCTTCTGCCCCAGAACGCAGGGAGCTGGCCAAGATGCGATACAGTGCGTTCCAGCAGCTAACCGTGCTGGAACGCACTGCATATGGTGTGAGCAAGCCGTTGAGTCCAAAATAAGAAGGTCTCCTTCTAAAAATGTTCGTCGTCTGTCTATCTCTGGTTTCAATGCATTGAGTGCAACTAAAATCTAAACTCCCGAGCTACATACTCGACAGCTCATGAAGTCAGCTTTAGGCGTATTTGAGAGCGATCGATCAATCTTTCTCTCGATGGATCTCTCTCAAATATGCGTAGATCTGAGGGATAGCAAGAGGTAGAGAGTGAAATGTATCCCCCTGTGCACAGATGAATACTTACTGAGTTCCGACAGGCCCGGCCTCCATTGTTTGTTTACATCCTGTGGAGGACATCTTCTCTGGGCCGTGCCTGTGCAGTACATCCCCTTTGACTACTACAGAGCTCAACTACCTCCATCTTCTGGCTAGGAGATAAACCCTGTAGCAGTCAACGTGATATACTACACAGAAGAGGCCCAGAAGAGGTTATGTCCACTGCAGGATGTAAACAAACAGAGGCCAGGCCCTTGGGAACTTGGCAAGCATTCCTTCCTGTGCACAGGGAGGGAGGAAGCCAGGAGGTCAGCTCAGAGGGGTACTTTGTTCTAATCTGCACTTATACTTTATTGCTGGTATAGAGCTGCAGGCCGTATTTATTTACACAGTGAGGTGGAACTGCACTCTTCCTCATAAACCTTTTTATGAGCACAACACATGCAAATAAATGAAACCTGCACTCCAAGCTGGCAACTAAATTAACAGGTGAAAGACACACATAAATCATCTTACCTGCGCAATGATCTGTGATTCTGCTCAGCTGTGCCTATGGCCAGCAGCACAGCTCAGCGTGGAGCTCTGTAAAGGTGCCCATACACCTTACGATTATCGTACGATAACCGTATGCGATCGACTTTTCGTACGTCAATCGTAACGTGTGAAAAGAGTGCCCAACCGATAGTACTGTACAATCGTACGACTTTTTGACGGTCAAGCATGTTTGAAAACTTTGGTCGATCGTACGATGTTCGCATAGTTGGTGGCGTTTCCGTCCGTCAAAAGTCTACAATTAACACTGCGCATGCGCAAACGAAAATAATTGCGGTCAATTACCTCAAGTCGTCCAGGTGGTTTTTTTTTTTTTTTTAACTACCGCTGATTGAACCTTTCGATAAAATCGGGGCAGGATGGGGCACTCGCACGAAAATCGCATGACGGTTCGATCATCGGACGAAAAGTTTCGTCCGATAATCGTAAGGTGTATGGGTGGGTTGGTTCATGCAACTTCGCCCATGGCAACAATCCCTACACCAGCCCTGGCTAAACGCAATCTTGTCCGGGAGGCAATTCTGCCAGCAGCCCTCAGGGGACCCACCACAACCACCTCCCCCTTACATCTGCCTCAAAGGCTTCCTCCGGTCTCAGCGGCTATGGTCAGTCCTGTTTTGGTTACAATTGTTTGTATCGGGACAAGTAGATTGTCATGAGTGACAAGTAGATTGGGGCCCCCCACTTTAGTCCAAGTAGTTCCTGGGAGTTCCTAGTTGGCTGTGAATGATGCGACACTACAGTGGTGAATAAATATTGCCTGAAATGAAGTTGGAGTGCGAGTGACTTTTCCTACACTGCACACACCTATAGAGATTTAATATGAGGCTGTATAATGATCAGAGAAGATCTATCACTACACGGGGATCCAATCGGATCCTCGATCTCAAACTCGATGTGGGTTTATTGCAAACAGTCATGTGACCGCACACATCCAATGACAGACACTGATCGCTCTCTCTCAGTGCAACAGGAAAGTTCAGGTTTTTCCCCAAGCAGACAAACAGGGAACTAGAATACTAGTCCCTCATCATGTGACACAAGACACAGTGTACTGCAAAGTGTCACTTCATGCCTGAGGTCAGGTGACAGGCGATCCGCCCTTCATCTGTAGGGGAGCAAACTGCCATCCAGCAGCAGTTAGAACTACAAGTCTCAGCATGCTTTGATAGCAAGGGTCACCATGCATGTTACAATCTGATCATGCAATCTTTATACAATCAATGTAATATAAGGAACTAGCTGAACTATTCAATCAGGCAGGCCCTAGCACTACATAGTTGCGGGCAGATCTAAAGAAGATTGTACAATCAGATTGTAACATGTGTGGTGGGCTTAGAGGTCATCAGGACAAATCACATCGCGCAGTATGTGCAGCGCGCACACACACGGGACAAATCACATCGCGCAGTATGTGCAGCGCGCACACACACGGGACAAATCACATCGCGCAGTATGTGCAGCGCGCACACACACGGGACAAATCACATCGCGCAGTATGTGCAGCGCGCACACACACGGGACAAATCACATCGCGTAGTATGTGCAGCGCGCACACACGGGACAAATCACATCGCGTAGTATGTGCAGCGCGCACACACACGGGACAAATCACATCGCGTAGTATGTGCAGCGCGCACACACACGGGACAAATCACATCGCGTAGTATGTGCAGCGCGCACACACGGGACAAATCACATCGTGTAGTATGTGCAGCACACACACACGGGACAAATCACATCGTGTAGTATGTGCAGCACATACACACGGGACAAATCACATCGTGTAGTATGTGCAGCACACACACACACGGGACAAATCACATCGTGTAGTATGTGCAGCACACACACACGGGACAATCACATCGTGTAGTATGTGCAGCACACACACGGGACAATCACATCGTGTAGTATGTGCAGCACACACACGGGACAATCACATCGTGTAGTATGTGCAGCACACACACGACAATCACATCGTGTAGTATGTGCAGCACACACACGGACAATCAGATGGTGTAGTACAGGTGACAGGACGAGGAACACCCATCACCCAGTCCTCGCACTCACCTCCGGAAAGCATCCTGCAGCACCAGGCAGTCCGCTCCTGCGGTTGATCCCTCTCCGTGCACTATAGTGAACTCAGCCGGAGGAATGAACATGGCATTGGGGGAGATCTGTACCTCCTGGGGAAGCGGCCACAGTGAGCCGTACGGGGACGGTTCAGGAGCAGCCAGCGGCTGTCCATCCTTCTCCGGGGATTTATACCAGCTGTGCGCATAGCTGGCCGCTGCCAGGACGAGGCACAGGACGGGAAAGAACCGCACCGATATCATCCCTGCTCACCACACTGATACTGTGACTCCACTGACTACATCGACTCCAACTGCCGGGTCACGGGACACCGACATCATGTGACACCCGCTCAGACACGCCCCTTCTGCATGCAGCTGCAGGATGTGCAAACATTAACCCTTTCAGTGGGGCCTCCCACTTCATGTTGTAGGCTTGTTAGGTGCCATTAACTAAGGCTGTTAGTACATTGGTTACTATATACACGTTTCCTGGCACATTGAAGCAGGTGCACGAGACCTGAAGATACAGGATTCTGGATATTTGTCACATAGACATAATGTGGAAACAAAATGAAAGCACTTCATATAAAGTGCAAACTACAAAGCCGACCCTATAATAAGGCAGCTGTAGGTTGTTGCCTCAGGCGGCATCTCTACCCACACACAGCTTACACACTAATGTCCCCCCACAGTCATTATACATTTACAGGTGAAACTCAAATAATTTGAATATCGTGCAAAAGTTCATTTATTTCACTAATGCAACTTAAAAGGTGAAACTAATATATGAGATAGACTCATTACATGCAAAGCAAGATAATTCAAGCCGTGATTTGTCATCATTGTGACTGATAAATTCCATTCAAAAGTGTTGGGGACTTTCACAAGGAGTGGACTGAGGCTGGAGTCAGTGCATCAAGAGCCACCACACACAGACGCAGGGGCGGACTGACCATTCGGGCACGGACCGAGGGCCCGCGGCCAGAAGGGGGCCCGTCACTGTCCCTCCGTTCCAGGTCTCTTTTCCACTACTACCAGCCTCACAGCATGTGTCCGTGCCCAGCAGACCCTGTCGTCGGTTTACACAGTCTCATCTGACAGAGCCGCAGACGAGTGTCTCCTACAGTTGCGAGGTGAGAGGGGGGAAGGGGAAGGGGAGGGGGTTTGGCAGAGGAGTGATGTGTGGGAAAGTGAAAGTGAGATTCGTCCGGCTTCTTCCTCACAGCAGCCGATCGAGTCTCCTAACCCTGGTGAGGCAAGCACGAAACCCTGGTGAGACAAGCACGCAGCCACGCTGAGACAAGCATGCAGCCATGCTGAGACAAGCATGCAGCCGCGCTGAGACAAGCAGGCAGCCATGCTGAGACAAGCAGGCAGCCCTGGTGAGACCCGCACACAACTCTGGTGAGACCCACACCCAACCCTGGTGTGACAAGCACGCAGCCCTGGTGAGACAAGCACGCAGCCCTGGTGAGACAAGCACGCAGCCCTGGTGAGACAAGCACGCAGCCCTGGTGAGACCAGCACGCAGCCCTGGTGAGACCAGCACGCAGCCCTGCACTCTGCGTCACGCCGCTGACTTCTGCACTCTGTGTCACCCCACTGACCTCTGCATTACAACTTACCTCTGCACTTCAGCAATGTATTATTTAAAATTGATTCTGCTGCATTAGGTCCTGTGCAGCAGCCTTCTGGGGAACCACACAGTGCCCGCTTACAGGGCTTCTGCTCCCTGCACATCTTCCCCCTCCTGAGATCTTACGCAACCCTCCTGGGACCCTCCACACCCCTCCTGAGACCCTCTGCCCGAGACATCAGGCCGGCACCTTGGAGCAGAGCGCCAGCACAGAGTATGTACCAAATTCATATACTATTATTCTGCATTGCTGTATAATGTATAGCTAGGATTTGTAGACCACTATAGCTGATGGTATTCTTCATTAGAGTGTAAGCTCCTGTGTACAGAGACTGATGTGAGTGGCTCAGTGTTCTCTGTACAGCACTACGGTATATGTCAGAGCTATATAATTGTATAAAAATAAAAGTGTCTGACTGGGGGGAGATGTTTGGGGGGCCAGTGAGATCTGGAACCATCACCTCCTACCCCTTGGGAGTGGGAAGAGGGCCTAGAAAAATTTTGCACCAGGGTCCTTTGTTTCTTAGGTCCACCACTATGAACTGGAGGCAGTGGAGATGTAACAAGTGGTTGGGGGGGTTATGTGAAGGTGTAGGTAGCAGCAAATTCACAGGAGGTTAAACTGGAAAAATTAAGGTGGTGATGACAGTGAGTGTTTTACAGTTTGGGAAGCATTCCATATGGCAATAGCAGACATCTCAACTCTCCCAGATGTTTCTCGGGAGTCTCCCGCTATTAGATAGTGGCTCCCGGACACCCGGGAGAGAAACATTTTCTCCTGCAAAAGTTTACTCTGCTTTACCTAGCAGAGTAAACCTTTCCCTTCTGTTTTTCTTGTTTTTTTTTTCTTGACAAAAAAAAACAGCATAGGAATGAATAGCTAGATTGCTAATTTCAATTTGCAATAGCAGACTAGCCATTGCACCCAACCACTGATGCTGTCAATCAGCAGAGGTGGACCTGAAGTTCTCCATCAGGTCCTCATCTGCTGATTGACAGCAGCAGAGGGCGGGTGCAATAGCCAGCTTGCTATTGGCTATTGCAAATTGAAACCAACTTACATTCAAGTACCTAACTGTCACGATTTGAGTTTCACCTGTAGATAGCTCTGACATATACCGCAGTGCTGTACAGGGAACACTGAGTCAGTAACATCAGTCTCTGTACAGAGGAGCTTACACTCTAATGCACAATGGCACCAGCTGTAGGGGGACTACAAATACCAGCAATACATTTATACAGCAATGCAGAACAGTATATTAATTCAACTCAGGGCTTAGTGACCTGCTGGACGCAGGGATTGGTGACCCGATGGACTCTGGGATTGGTGACCCGATGGACGCAGGGCTTCGTGACCCGCTGGACGCAGGGATTTTGTGACCAACTGGACTCTGGGATTGGTGACCCTGTCAGAACTATTGAGACTAAAAGAACTGGACAACAAGGCCTATACATACTCGTGATCATAATTTTTGCACTGATTTCTTAGTTAATAAAATATATATATTTTTGCACAGCTATTGTATCCATTTTTGTCTTCAGGTTAGCGCAAATAAAATGAACTCGAGTTATTATTTTTGTTGATTTGTGAAAATAATTTGGGAATCTCCTTAATTCCAGATCCTGGCCTATTTTCAGAAATAAAGAATTGTTTATCTTTCTCTGAGTAAACATTCTGACAACCCGATGGACTCTGGGATTGGTGACCCGATGGACTCTGGGATTGGGGCCCCGATGGACTCTGGGATTGGTGACCCGATGGACTCTGGGATTGGGGCCCCGATGGACTCTGGGATTGGTGACCCGATGGACTCTGGGATTGGTGATTCGATGGACTCTGGGATTCGTGACCTGACGGACTCTGGGATTCGTGACCTGACGGACTCTGGGATTCGTGACCCGCTGGACTCTGTGATTAGTGACCTGCTGGACGCAGGGCTTCTTGACCCACTGGACGCAGGGATTTTGTGACCTGCTGGATGCAGGGATTCGTGACCCGCTGGACTCTGGGATTAGTGAACCGCTGGACTCTGGGATTAGTGACCCGCTGGACTCTGGGATTAGTGACCCACTGGACTCTGGGCTTAGTGACCTGCTGGACGCAGGGCTTCGTGACCCGCTGGAAGCAGGGCTTTGTGACCCGCTGGACGCAGGGCTTCGTGACCCGATGGACTTCATGACCCGGTGGACTCTGGGCTTAGTGACCCACTGGACTCGTAAAACCAGCAAAAAGTAACTCGCACTCCAAAGTGATGCCCAGTCAATCCCTTTATTGACTATGGTGGTGTAACATCTCTAGGCGACGTTTCGGAACCCAGTGGTCCCTTCCTCAGGCAAACAGAAAATGAACACCAGCAATATATGGTGACTTGAATACACAATAGTGACAGCCAAACAACCAATCAAAAGACATGACAACCCCCATCTGACGTCCCAATGATGTCCCTTTTCCCGCCAGTTATATGTAAACATACCACAGGTCATGACAGTGATCATAAGACATCCCCACTCCTGTGCATACCTTATGTACATTGCTGGTTCACCAAGCCTTGTCAGTAACATCAAATAGGGTTCTGCAATCTCCATGATATTATTTGCTCTGTTCGCCTCACACACGATCTCGTTCGCTCGGCGGGCGCATGCGCAGCATCTATCAGCGCACGCGTATTGAATCTTGCCTCATCGCCCAGCCAATCGGTGGGCAGAAAATGAACGATCAAGTGGTCTATGTGTTACCAAGCAACCAGGAGATGCTCTCCACTATGTAGAGACCCATGCTGACACAGCTATACGGGATTAAATATGAATAATTATAGAACATTATAACAATCGATAAATAAGTCAGATTCAACATTATTCACATAGTCTATAAGCTACCGTATATTAAAAAATAGTACTAAGATTAACCCTTCAAGGAACAGTACATCCCCTACCTATAGCAAATGCCTGTTAGAGGGGAATCAGCTCTGATAATCATAAATGTGGGTAATGCAAGGCTTAATTAATGTAATTGAGAATATGTATGATTATGTCATGTGTAAAATATATATAATGTCATTTTATAAAAAAGATTATAAAGAAACCAATGGTCAATGACCAATGTGTCTTAAAGGAAACCAGGGGAAGTACATCAGAAACATTAAAAACCCAAGCTATTGTAATAATCCATGGGTAAATGGTCAGATAGCAAATAAGGGACAGGAACACCTCGAAAATTCTTAATGTATAACAAACAGCCATTTATATCCCCACACGTTCAGAGGATCATTATCTGTCAGATAAGAAACACGTGTATGACAAATTGGAATTCAAACCCCGTGGGATAAACGTGTCAAGGGTGAAGATCCAAAAGGCTTCTCTACGCAAAAGTTGTAGGTCCCCTGGTCGCAGGGCTTAGTGACGCTCTGGACTCGGGGCTTAGTGACCCGCTGGACTCGGGGCTTCGTGATGCGCTGGGCGCAGGGCTTAGTGACCCGCTGGACGCGGGGCTTAGTGACGTGCTGGACGCAGGGCTTAGTGACCGGCTGGACACAGGGCTTAGTGAACCGCTGGACTCGGGGCTTCGTGATGCGCTGGGCGCAGGGCTTAGTGACCCGCTGGATGCAGGGCTTAGTGAGGCGCTGGA